CATGTTCCGGTGGTGGAACTCTTCTCTCAGTATCTACCGGTGCTCGGTAAGGTTCCAGAAGAGAGACATGAAAGACCGGGTGGATTCCCATTTGGGGGGGAAGAGAGAGCTTGTAGGCACGGGTACCAATAGCTTCTAAGACCTTAAAGGGTCCCATCTTCTTCTGATCCAGTTTTCCCAAAGGCCACTTTGTTTGCACATTGCGCCGGTCCAACATAACTTCATCTCCGGGCTTGATTTCAGGCGGTGCCAGGGCATGAGCATCATACCACCGGGCCATCCTTAATCTAGTTTTACCCAAGCTGGCATTCATAGCCTGTCAGATAGATTCCCATTGAGATATCATGACCTCGCTCGCTGGATTGTTCCATTCTACTCCTTCCCTTGGGGCCGGCCAGTTGGTCCTGGGCTCATATCCATAGTTGGCATAAAAAGCCGATACTTTGGTAGACTCAGAGACCGCCGAGTTATATGCATACTCTGCCAAAGGCAAGAGTTCTGCCCAGTCATCCTGTTGATATGAACAGTAAGTCCGCAAGTAATGTTCCAGGGTCTGGTTAACTCTTTCTGTTTGACCGTCCGTTTGTGGGTGGAAAGATGTGGACATCTTCAGCTTCACATTGAGGAGACTCATGAGAGATTGCCAAAAGTGAGAAATGAACCTGCTATCTCTGTCCGAGACTATGTCATCAGGTAAACCATGGAGTCTCCAAACTTCCTTCAAGAACAACTTAGCCAAATCTTCCGTTTTATTGAGGGTAGGAAGAGGGATGTAGTGTGCCATCTTCGAAAAGCGGTCCACTATTACCCAGATCTTTGTAAACCCACTAGATTCCGGTAATCCCACAATGAAGTCCATAGAGATGGAAGTCCATGGCCGATAGGGTATCTCCAACGGTTGGAGCATACCAAACTTGTTATGTCTTGAGGTCTTTTTCCTCTGGCAGCTGTCACAGCTCCGGACATATTCCTCAACATCCTTATCCATGTTGGGCCAAAAGAAGTTGTTTTTTACCCGCTCAAGTGTCTTAAATTGGCCAAACTGACCCGCCACCTTAGAGTCATGGGTATCGGACAGTATTTCCATCTGAAGCTTCTTGTCTTTGGGTATATACCATCTATTCTTGTAGAAGATGAGACCGTTCTTGACCGACAAGTTCTGGTCCAAATTTGGTTTCCTTTCAACCAGGGAGCGGTGCAATTCCTGCCAGAAACTATCCTCTTTAGCAGCCGTGTATAGGCGCTCTAAGAATGTATTCTGCAATTGATTCACCCTGACAGCCGCTAGCTTTACAGGATCCAAAACCAATTGACCTGGCCTAAAAAAGATCTGTGGCTCCGGCTGCAGAGTTTCACCTCCCTCTCCAAGGCGGTGATCCCAGCACCTAGATAGCACATCAGTCTTGCCATTCTTTTCTCCCGGTCTGTAGACAACTTTGAAATTGTAGCCTGCGAGGTCTTCAGACCATCTAGCTTGCCGCCTAGTGAGAACCTTGGTAGAATTAAACTACTCCAAGTTCTTCTGGTCTGTAAAAACCGTGATCTCTTGCTCACAAGATTTGAGCATGTGTTCCCATTCCCGGAAAGAGGCTACAATAGCTCCCATTTCCTTATCATGAATGTCATAGTTGATCTCAGCAGGGGAGAACTGCTTAGAATAGAATGCCACCGGATGTAGCTTCCCATCACCCCCATACTGAGAGAGCACCGCTCCCTTGGCAAAATCACTGGCATCTGTCTCGACCACCGTTCTCCTACTAGGGTCAAAATGAAGGAGGATTGGAGCGCTTGTGAACAGCCTTTTGAGTTCTTCAAAGGCCTGCTCATGTGCTGCCGTCCAATACCATTTCTTGTCTTTTTGCAGGAGGTCAGTTAATGGTTTGCAAACTTTACTGAAGCCTTCAATAACGCGGCGATAGAAGTTTGCAAATCCGAGGAATGCCTGCACTGCCTTGATATTCTCAGGGACCAGCCATTCCTTAACTGCCTCCACCTTGTCTTCTGACATGGATACTCCTTCTTCTGAGATGTGATAGCCTAGGTACTCTACTTCTCGGACATGGAAGGATGTCTTATTGATCGAGGCACAGAGCTTACCTTCCCTAAGCTTCTGTGAAACCTTCTTGACCAGTAGCTCATGCTCTTTCTCAGTTTCCGAGTAGATGAGGATGTCGTCAATATAGACAACCACTCCTTCATCTAGTAGTTCCTTTAGCACATCATTGATCATTGCCTGGAAGGCGGAGGGAGCATTGCATAGACCAAACGGCATCACATTATACTGATACAGTCCATAGCGGGTTCTGAAAGCGGTTTTCCACTCATCACCTTCGGCTATCCTGATCAAATTGAAGCCGTTCTTCAGATCTATTTTTGTGAAGATCTTGGCCTTGAACAACCTGTCTCTGAGCTCACTCATGATAGGCAACGGGTACTTGTCCTTGACAGTGACCTTGTTCAAACCTCTGTAATCCACACAAATCCGCAATGTACCATCCTTCTTAGGAATGAACAATATGGGCGCCGCAGCAGGGCTATTAGATCTAGAGATCTTTCCTGAAGACAATTCTTTGTCCAGGTACTCTCGGAGGGCCTTCAATTCTGGAGCGGAACATGGGTACAGCGGGCCAAATGGGGGAGCGGTGCCAGGCAAGAGTTTGATCTTCAAATCATTATGGGAATGCGGCGGCATTTCCTCAATCTTCTCTTGACTGAACACATCAGCCCAATCCCGGTATAGGTGGTGTATTTTCTCAGCAATATCACCTCCGTCCTCATCATGCCATACTGAACCAACCAATTGATAGACTGTCTCTTCTTCTTCCAACATTTGGTATGGAGAGATCAGTTCGATCTTGGTAGCCGCTGGGAGACAATTCTGCTTGCAGTAGTCACTCCTCCAGCTCATGGTGTTGAGTTCCCAGTTAATGTCCGGGTTATGCTTCCTAGCCCAACTAATTGGCAGGTAACTGGTCATTCCTTCTTCCAAAGTAGCCACTTCCCATCGGAGTGTCTCTTTATGATCTCCCATAATCATGCGGACCGGGTGAGTGTAATACTCACCTCCTCCCATCATGACATCTCCTTGAGCATCAAACATTATCAGAGGTTGATCCCACCGCACTAAGGGAATTCCATGCTTTCTGACAAAACTCTGGTTGAGGATTGCTCCTGTACAACCGGTGTCAAACAGGAAAGACCCTTGGGCGCCTTCATCCTTTCCTTTGACTGTCCATGACAGTCCTGCCTTTAGTATAGGTCTTTTTCCATGTACTGGTAAGGAGGGAAGCCTCTGTTCCAACCTTCTTTGCTTAACAGCGGGTTCTGAACTTGTTTCTCTTTGTCTTTTCAACATAGCTAATAGCTTCGGGCACTACTAAGATCAGAGATCCTTTGGTTCTATTCCCAAGCGATAATATAGCAGATATATTGTGTAGTAGTGTGAGGGATGCGTATCAGACCACAAGAGTACACTACGCAGAGCTCAGAGTTCGGCTAACAGCTACAAAGGTAGAAGTCTCCAAGGTCTCTTCAGTCAACGTCGAGTATGATTCTCCTTGATCCGATACGGGCCTCGCGAGTTACGTTATCAACAAAGATTCACTAGAGTTAGGGTGTGATGTTCGACCGTCTTCGACGTAATAGTTCAGGTAGAGTTTGAAGTCACGATAGAATAAAGTATTTCCAAAAGTATAGTCAAATAAAGTTGTAACTCGCGTATCAACGATTTATATTGTTAAGACTCTGATTTCGCCAATGATGGTTTGGCTAGTCAGTGAATGACACAGTATTTATATCCCCCGCTTATGTCTCGAGGACCCAGTCTACTAATAATACAGAATACACTCGGGGCATGCCCGAGACCCTGAAAAACAACCAAGAACATTTAACTCCTAAGTCCGTAATCCAAACTCCTAAAGCCGCTGAAACCCCTCAACCTATTTATCCACTCTAATGCACGTTTCCCTGTCGATGTTTCTTCTCCATCGGCCGTTCAGGCCTCTTCCCACATCGCTTTCCCACATAGCAGAGTCCTCTCATGCCCACAGGTACCGCCGATAGGTACTTGGTCGGCTGGTAGCTTGCGCCGATTCACTCCGGGTGGTCCGATCTTCCATCCGATTGATTCCAGCTATCCCTCATATATCCACCGGTCCAAAAGCACTCCCCTCCGGCGGTTTGACGCTCAGGGGGTTATTATTGGGGTCGAAAACGTATTTTTTAACTAGGAAAACCGCAACTCCGCATTTGGTCGCATATTGATCGCACCGCACCTCATGGGTGCGCACCGCAGTTGACATTAGTGTACAGAGGGTATTGGGGTATCTACTTGGCCTTTTCTCTTACTCCCGTAAATGCTTGGCATGCCCGTAACACTTTGCCATCCGAGACCTCTGAATAGCCGACGCTGACGATTATCCACCAGATGGCCGATGGAGAAGAAACATCGACAGGGAAACGTGCATTAGAGTGGATAAATAGGTTGAGGGGTTTCAGTGGGTTTAGGAGTTTGGGTTACGGACTTAGGAGTTAAATGTTCTTGGTTGTTTTTCAGAGTCTCGGCCATGCCCCGAGTGTATTCTGTATTATTAGAAGACTGGGTCCTCGAGACATAAGCGAGGGATATAAATACTGTGTCATTCACTGACTAGCCAAACCATCATCGGCGAAATCAGAGTCTTAACAATATAAATCGTTGATACGCGAGTTACAACTTTATTTGACTATACTTTTGGAAATACTTTATTCTATCGTGACTTCGAACTCTACCTGAACTATTACGTCGAAAACGGTCGAACATCATACGCTAACTCTAGTGAATCTTTGTTGATAACGTAGCTCGCGGGGCCCGTATCGGATCAAGGAGAATCATACTCGAGATTGACTGAAGAGACCTTGGAGACTTCTACCTTTGTAGCTGTTAGCCGAACTCTGAGCTCTGCTCAGTGTACTCTTGTGGTCTGGTACGCATCCCTCACACAAACCAACGAATAGCCGAGATGGAGGAGCGTCTACGACAACATATGTCGGTAGCACCCTCCATGGTGAGTATTCCCGTGGACCCTAATGCACCCCAAACGGTTCCTGTTGGCAATGGCAAGAACCCCGAAAACGCTGGCCCAGTAGGAGGAAATGCTGGTCCCGTAGGAGGAAATGGAGGCAGGCAACCGGAGGATGCCGGCCCGGTGCAGGGGAATAGTGGCAGGAAACCGGTGGGAGCTGCCCCCGTCGGCGGGAATGGTGGAAATCAACCTCCCCAGAATCCACCAAGAGGAAATATTGGGGGAGATCCAGAACCCTTCGACGACGATGACGACGATAACAGCGAATGGTCGCATGGTCGGAAGAATTGGAGAACGAACCGAGGCGAGAACCGGAATTCGGCGCCGCCCGAAGACGAGGATATGGTAGATTCGCTCGCCAAAATACCCTTTGAGTTCGATAATGCTAGGAAACACAACCTGCGACATTGGCTCATGGAGTGCGAAATCTACTTCGAGCAGAAGCCCAAGAAGTTCCGAACGGACAGGAACAAAGTACTGTTCGCTGGAACGTATACGTGTGGGTTGGCGAAAGAATGGTTTATGGAGTACATCGAGACCAAGATGCTAGGTCCAGCAGCCGCAGCCTACGCTACTTGGACTCGATTCCGTCAGGAGATCAGAAAACGTTTCCTAAGCACTCAGGAAGCTATGGAAATGTGAGGGATGCGTACCAGACCACAAGAGTACACTACGCAGAGCTCAGAGTTCGGCTAACAGCTACAAAGGTAGAAGTCTCCAAGGTCTCTTCAGTCAACGTCGAGTATGATTCTCCTTGATCCGATACGGGCCCCGCGAGCTACGTTATCAACAAAGATTCACTAGAGTTAGCGTTTGATGTTCGACCGTCTTCGACGTAATAGTTCAGGTAGAGTTCGAAGTCACGATAGAGTAAAGTAATTCCAAAAGTATAGTCAAATAAAGTTGTAACTCGCGTATCAACGATTTATATTGTTAAGACTCTGATTTCGCCAATGATGGTTTGGCTAGTCAGTGAATGACACAGTATTTATATCCCTCGCTTATGTCTCGAGGACCCAGTCTACTAATAATACAGAATACACTCGGGGCATGCCCGAGACCCTGAAAAACAACCAAGAACATTTAACTCCTAACTCCGTAACCCAAACTCCTAAACCCGCAGAAAACCCCTCAACCTATTTACCCATTCTAATGCACGTTTCCCTGTCGATGTTTCTTCTCCATCGCCCGTCTGGTGGATAATCGTCAGTGTCGGCTATTCGGAGGTCTCGAACGGCAAAGCTACCTACTCAGGCCTCTTCCCACATCGCTTTCCCACATAGCAGAGTCCTCTCATGCCCACGGGTACCACCGATAGGTACTCGGTCGGCTGGCAGCTTGCGCCGATTTGCTCCGGGTGGTCCGATCTTCGATCCGATTGATTCCAGCTGTCCCTCATATATCCACCGGTACAAAAACACTCCTCTCCGGCGGTTTGACGCTCCGGGGGTTATTATTGGGGTCGAAAACGTGTTTTTTAACTAGGAAAACCGCAACTCCGCATTTGGTCGCGTATCGATCGCACCACACCTCGTGGGTGCGAACCGGAGTTGATAGTGGTGTTGCCATTTAGTATCAAAGGGTATTGGGGTATCTACTAGCCTTTCTCTCACTCCCATAAATGCTTGGCATGCCCGTAACAGGAAAACGCGATGAAGATGCAGCAGTTCAAGTACTCTGCTAACATCGGGGACTACCTGACGAGGATGGAGATTATGAACCAGCATGCCCAGATGAAAGGGGCATCCTACCGCGCCGCCTTGCTCCAAGGACTACCAAATGAAATGCGGGAGCGCCACTCACGCTTCGACCCAACTGATGACGACTCCGAGTACATCCAACAGTTGGAACGAGCCGGTAAGGCTCACGAGGCCTATCAAGAGCAGATGAAGATGTTGGGGAAAGCGGAGTCGAGAGGAAGGGAGTCGAATAATGGTGGGAACTCGCGGCAGAAAGAGAAGGGGTTTAAGATCAAGGGGAGGGCTCAGACTGAGGAGAAAGAAGAGGGGCAAGATAAGAAGAGCACCAGCAAGAACAAGTCGGGGAATAAGCCAATTGTAACGGGGACTGTGGGCGTAGGAACTATGAAGCCAAGGAATACAACCGAGGCGAAGACGTGGACGTAGGAGGTTCGTGGACTATGGACTATGGACTATGGGGCCGAAGGGTACACCTAAGGCGAGAACGGGGACTGTGGACTATGGACTATGGATGGTTGTACCTGGTCTAGTATACCGGGTAAACCCTGTGACATAGCGCGAACCAAATAGTATTCGTAACTGTGAAGTACAGAGGCTGCATAAAGAGAAAAGGAAAAGAAAGAGAAACAAGAAATCACGAGACAAGGCCCCCCTTATATATCCATACCCTATCCCAATGCTGACTCATACCCTCGCATAACAGAAACAGAAAGAACATAATAGAAACCCGCCTCGCTAAACCCAACCACACTGCATAATCCTTCTCCCCTTATACCCAGACAACTCACATAGCCAACCCGCCTAGCTGCCATTACAGACCACTCCCCCCTCTAAGGCCTACCTCCTGGTAGGCTTAGGCTTCCGTGGATAACATTCATGAAATCGTTTGACGATATCGGGCGAGTGTTCGACATCCGACAATGACTGCCACGAAGCTTCATCATAACCAATATACTTTAGCAAGTATTCAAATCTTCCCCGACGATCCCTGGAATCCAAAATATCCTCAACTTCCCACTCCTCCTGTTCTTCAACTTCGACCGATGGTGGTGGTAACTGTTGTTGTCCTGGTAAAGGATCGTTTGCTGCAGACGACAATAAAGAGACATGGAATATGGGATGGATTTTCATAAAACGAGGAAGTGCTAGTTCGTAGGCATAGGGACTAACAATTCGTTTAATAGCATAAGGTCTGAGACGTTTCCAATCAAGTTTCTTTGAGGGTCGCTTAGTAAGGACATGACGTGTTGATAGGAAAACCTTATCTCCCACACGATAGTAAGGAGCGGGAGTCCGACTGGTATTGGCAGACTCTTCTTGAATCCTTTGTGCTCGGAACAACTCATCTCGTAGAAAATCTAATACCTCCTTCATCTCCCGTGCGATACCATTAGCCTGATCCTCTGCTGTCGTCCTACCATGTTCTAAAGGACCGAACGTCATTCTTGGATTCCGTCCTGAATTGGCAAAGAAAGGAGATATCTTTGTTGTTTCTGAAGCGTGATTGTTGGTCGCAAATTCAGCCATTGGTAACCATCGAGCCCAGTCATCTTGTTGATAGGAAACATAACTTCGAAGATATTGTTCCATTACAGCATTGATCCTTTCCGTCTGTCCATCCGTTTGGGGGTGAAATGCGGTAGAGAACTTTGGCAATATTTCTAGGCGATCGCAAAGGGACCTCCAAAACTCCGCAACAAATTGTGTTCCTCGATCAGATACCATAGTTTCAGGTAGTCCATGTAATTTCCAAACATTTTCAATGTATAGCCTCGCTACTTCCTTTGAATCCGCCTCTTTAGTTGTCGGTATAAGGTGTCGCATTTTAGTCAACCTATCTACCACAACCAGGATTGCATTGTACCCATTGCTTTCAGGAAGATCTGTAACAAAATCCATTGACACATCCGTCCATGGTCCATCAGGTATTGGCATGGGGCGGAGTACTCCAAAGGGTGCATTGCGTAGTGCCTTGCTACGGGCACACACATTGCAATTCCTAACGTACTGGTCGACATATTTTCGCATCTGTGGCCAGTAGTACTCTCGATTCAGGAGTTCCAGAGTCTTCGCTCTGCCTGGATGGCCTGCCGATGGGTTGTCATGGTGTTCCTTTAGGAGTCTTAGCCGAAGATCGTTGTCATCCGGTACATAGAGTGCGCCACGATAAAGTAGCCGACCGTTATTGTCTTCCGTACATTCGGCAAGCGAAATCTTATTCGAGTAACGGACGCCATTCCGAAGCATTGTAAGGACTTTGTTTGGGAAACTGTCAACTTGGTAAGCATTTAAAAACAACTCTTCTACAGTGGACATTCCTTCAGCGGATTCATTTGAAAAAGAACCCGCGAACAAACTTAGCTTTGCATCTAAATTTTTTCGTTTCAACACCACTTGACTCTGATGGGTCAACCGCTCATCCCCTTCTTTAGGCAGGTCACCCGACCTCCTAGTCAATGCATCTGGTTTCGCCCCTTGTTTTCCTGGTCTAAATTGAATAACGAAATCGAAACGTGAAAGAAATTCAGACCAACGGGCTTGTCGACGGTTTAATAACTTTGTTGACATAAAATATTCGAGGTTCCTATGATCGCTGAGGACTTCGATTGGGAATTGTGCCCCTTCCAAATGATGTCGCCATTCCTCAAAACATCGTACAATTGCCAGAAGTTCTTTGTCATAGATTTCATAGTTGCATTCCGCAGGGGAATGCTTCTTTGAGAAGAAAGCAACTGGATGTAAAATTCCTTCATCATCACGTTGGGACAGGATTCCAGCAGAAACATAGTCGGATGCATCGGTTTCTATTACGATTTTCCGATCCGGATCGAAGTGCGCTAGGATGGGTGCTGTGGTGAACATCTTCTTCAATGTCTGGAATGCTCCCTCCCTTTCATCCGTCCATTCGAATTTGACATTTTTCTTTGTTAACGCTGTGAGGGGAGCAACAATTTTCGAATATCCCAAGATGAACCGTCGATAGAAATTCGCAAAACCCAAAAATACCTGAACATCGTGAAGATTCCTTGGTATAGACCATTCTAAAACATCAACAACTTTCTTCGGGTCCATCCTATTCCCATCAGGGGTGAGAATAAGGCCAAGATACTTTGTTTCCTGGACCATGAATTCACATTTTTCAGGCTTAAGGTGAACATGATTCTCATCAAGTACCTTCAAAACCTTCTGAATGTGTTCCTTGTGTTCCGACAGGGTTTCCGAATATATCAGAATATCATCCAGATATGCCGTTACGAATTGGTCAAGATAAGGTCGTAGGATATCATTGATCCAATGTTGGAATGTGGCCGGAGCGTTGGCTAATCCAAATGGCATTACTGTGTACTCGAAATGTCCATAACGAGTCCTAAACGCTGTCTTCCATTCATCTCCCTTAGCTACCCTGATCTGATTATATCCCCAACGTAGATCCAGCTTGGTGTAGTATTGCGCTTTTGATAACTTGGTCAGGGTTTCCTTTAACAATGGTAACGGATATCGATTTTTGACCGTGATTGCATTGAGACCTCGATAATCCACACAGAGCCGGAGAGTCCCATCAGTTTTCTTTACGAACAGTATGGGTGCTCCCGCTGGCGACTCACTGGCCCGAATAAATCCCTTAGGTAGGTTTTCATCAAGGTATTCCCGTAGTGCTTTTAGTTCGGTTTGGGAGAGACCATATATCGGTCCATACGGTGGTCGTTTACCTTCCTCCAATACGATCTCAATATCATGTGACGGCCGATGTGGTGGAAGGACTGAAGCATCATATTCTTGGAAGATATGGAGACGATGGTGAAACTCCTTTGGTACTAGTTGCTTGACGTCGACAGTGGATTTCTCAACTGCTGAAACGACAACAGTATGATGTTCCGGTAGAGGGATCGATATTCCATGGACAGTGACTGTCGTTCCACTGAGTGAACAGTGTTGACAACAGCTTTGAGAGTCAAAAATAAGTAAATTTTTCTTCGGCCGAATCGTAACATCGTGACGTCGCATCCAAGGTATTCCCATTACAATTGGATAGTGTCCCAGCTTCGTTACAAAACATGATGCAGTTTCCCGATGACCATGGATATCCAGCGACACATTGACAATATGGGTGATCTTTCCTGATTCAATAGGCCTCCCATCCATAACATCTACCTGACGAGGTACTTTAAGGCGGGTCATTGTAAGATTATTGTGGCGTACGAAAGATTCGTCAATAAAAGCGTATCCAGAGGCTCCGGTATCAATAAGGGCATAGGTGGGTATAAAAGAGTCGGGATTCTGAGAGACCGAACAGGTAACAACAAGAGAGTCTTCGGACATCTTGTCCTCAGACACAGCAGCAGCAGAAATAACAGAGACTGGTGGCGGGTCTAGCCCCTTTGGTTTGCCATTTTTTACCAAAGGGGCTGACCTTTTAGCGCCGGCTTTGGGGACCCATTTTCAAGTGGCTTTTCTCGCCAATTGCTGATGGTACGGGGATCGTTGGAGCGAGGGGCGAGGTAACGAGACTTAGCGGAGACATGGCGACGTGGGGGTTTGACTGTGGTGGCAGAAGCGGAGACACGGGAACGAAGGTCAGCGATGGTGGCATTGGCTTGGGCCTCCCAAGCCTTTGCAACAGAGGTGATGTGAAGAATCTCATCTTCAGCATCAGCGAGATTCTCGTCAGCGGTGGCGAGACTTTCCTGATGTAGTGCCAGGCGATACCGAAGCTCCTCCTCTTCGGCCTTAGACTCCTCAAGCTCGCCCTTGAGAGCAACGATAACTTCATCGCGGCCCCGGATAGTCTCGGTAGAGTCTTCCTGGCATTCGGACAAGGTTTGCAATAGATCGGCAGCCTTTTCGTCAGCTGCTTCAAGTTCCTTGGTGAGGCCGATAATGACCTCTTCTTGGACCGTGTCGATAACGGGTTCGGGGATTTCGGAAGGCTTGGTGAAAGCCTCCAAACATTCAGCAATGAGAATATGGGCCTCGGTAAGTTCATCACCGAAGTCTATATCCGCTGGAAGAGGACCATATGTGGTCAAAAATTCTGAAAGACGCTGCTACAACGTATCTTGAGTGGTGTCGGACATGGTCACGACCAGAGCTAAACGAGGCGGTGTTGTATTGGTTGGCTATAGAGGATGCAACCTAAGTGTAACGGGGACTGTGGGCGTAGGAACTATGAAGCCAAGGAATACAACCGAGGCGAAGACGTGGACGTAGGAGGTTCGTGGACTATGGACTATGGACTATGGGGCCGAAGGGTACACCTAAGGCGAGAACGGGGACTGTGGACTATGGACTATGGATGGTTGTACCTGGTCTAGTATACCGGGTAAACCCTGCGACGTAGCGCGAACCAAATAGTATTCGTAACTGTGAAGTACAGAGGCTGCATAAAGAGAAAAGGAAAAGAAAGAGAAACAAGAAATCACGAGACAAGGCCCCCCTTATATATCCATACCCTATCCCAATGCTGACTCATACCCTCGCATAACAGAAACAGAAAGAACATAATAGAAACCCGCTTCGCTAAACCCAACCACACTGCATAACCCTTCTCCCCTTATACCCAGACAACTCACATAGCCAACCCGCCTAGCTGCCATTACACCAATATACCACGACTATGACGAAGCCACCAAAGGAATTCCACAGCCGGTCCGAGACCAGCGAAAGACCGATGGTGTCTGTGTGCGATGTGGCCGAAAGGGTCATCTTTGGAAATGGTGTCGTTCAGATGCTAACAGCAGTGCATCTATCTCCTCTTTCTCCCGAAAGCGTACCCGTGATGACGATGGCGACCACGATATGGAACCACCGGAACCCCAACCTCAGAAAAAGCGTATGAGGCACCGTGCTAGAAAGCCGGCTGCTACGGCTGCTGCGGAGTATACCAGTGGGCAAGCGTTTGTACGAGAACGCGGATCGGAATCGGAGATGGATTTCGATGAGGATTTTTAAAAGGGGACTCTGATGAGTCAGGTCAGGAGTATCCCCAGATTGCTATGTTATCACTGACAGAAAACAACAAAAAAAATATGAAAAGAAAAGGGCAGGAAGGGAGAGCGTCCCAACCGGAGAAAAAACAGAAAATTTTGGAGGAACCCATTCACGGTCCTCGACCTATCGTTAATCAGTTCCTTTGTTTTGCGGAAAAATGTTTACCTTGTAAGGTGTTGTTGGATACTGGCGCAACTGGTCCTGTTTTGTCTGCTGTTTTTGTTGATAGATTTGAGGTCCCGAAGGTGAAACGAGACGTCCCGGCCCGGGTATTTGGATTTACGGGAGAAGTTATGAAGGGCACGGGACACGCCTTTACACAACCGTTAATTATAATGTCAAGGGGGCATCAAACACAGTTGTCATTCGAGATCGCCCCCCTCCCACTTGGCATCGATGCAATATTACCGAACTGGTGGTTGAAAGAACATAAGCCGGTTATAGGGGCAAATGGGGAAGTTTCCTACGATGGTGAGAACTGCAAGAGTCGATGCTTCACTGACAAGGAACCTCAAATAGAGATAGACGGAGGAGTACTGGACGATCCGGAGGCCCAATTCATCGGTAGCATCTGCTTACTGGAAGATGAATCGGTTAAACTCCGTGAAACTCTTCCCTCTTCGCTCCATGGGTTCCTTAAAGTCTTCCTACCATCAGAAGCAGATAAATTACCACCGCATCGATCTTACGACCATGCGATAGACCTCGAACCAGGAAAGCAGCCACCATGGGGACCCGTTTACTCCCTATCCGAAGTCGAGTTGAAGGTGCTTCGGGAGTACCTGGATAAAATGTTGCGATTGGGAAAGATTAGGACAAGCAAATCCCCGGCAGGAGCCCCAATCCTATTTGTGAAGAAGAAGGACGGTAGTCTGCGACTTTGCGTTGACTACCGTGGACTTAACCGTGTGTCCATCAAGAACAGGTATCCACTACCGCTTATGGATGAGCTGCGAGATCGAGTGGCAGGCGCGGTTATCTTCTCGAAGATTGACCTGAAGGAAGGTTACAACCTCATCAGGATTAAAGACGGCGACGAGTGGAAGACAGCCTTTCGTACGCGGTACGGGCATTTTGAGTACCTCGTCATGCCTTTATCACGGGGACCGTAGACGATAGCCTGTGGTGCCAAGGAATACAACCTAGGTAGTGACGTAGACGTGGACATAGACGTAAAGGTATACTTTGACTATAGACTATGGGTGGCTCTACCTGGTATGGTAAACCGATTGGAGCCCTATGACGTAGTGCGGACAAAGAATAGTATTCGTAGAATAAATACAGAGGTTGCGTAAAGAAGAAAGAGAAGAAGGAAAACAGACAAAAGCATGAAACAACGCCCCCTTATATATCCACCCATAATCCAACGATGACTAATACCTTCGCGTAACAGAAACCCAAAGAACATAATAGAAGTCCCCATTACAAATCCTAATTCCACTACACGATACCTCCTTCCTTTATCCCAGTTCATCACCTAGCCGAAATACATAGCTGCCGTTACAGACCACGCCCCCCTCTAAGGCCTACCTCCTGGTAGGCTTAGGCTTTCCTGGATAACGTTCGTGGAATCGTTTGACGATATCAGGTGAATGCTCAAGGTCCGATAGTGGTTGCCAGGAGGCTTCATCATATCCCATATACCGTACCAAATACTCAAATCTTCCTCTTCGTTTCCTCGAATCCAAGATATCTTCAACCTCCCACTCTTCCTGTCCTTCAATTTCAACTGGAGGTGGAGGTAGTTGTTCCTGACCGGGCAAGGGATCATTGGCTACGGGCGACAATAACGAAACGTGGAATACTGGATGTATTTTCATCGAACGAGGAAGTTCTAATTCATAGGTATAGGGATTGACCATTCGTTTAACGTTATACGGTCCAATACGTTTCCAGTCGAATTTCTTGGAAGGTCGTTTGGTTAGAATATGACGAGTCGATAGGAAAACCTTATCTCCTAAATGATATCGAGGAGCTGGAGTCCGATTCCTATTGGCTGATTCTTCTTGTATCTTTTGCGCTCGAAACATCTCTTCTTTTAGGAAATCTACTACATCCTTCATTTCCCTTGCAATATGATTCGCTTGATCCTCCGCCATCGTTCGACCATGTTCCAAAGGGTCAAAAGTCATTCTTGGATTTCTTCCTGAATTGGCATAGAATGGGGAGACCTTTGTTGTTTCGGAGGCATGATTGTTTGTTGCAAATTCAGCCATTGGTAACATTCGAGCCCAATCATCCTGTTGATAGGAAACATAGCTTCGGAGGTACTGTTCCATTACGGCATTAATTCTTTCCGTTTGTCCATCTGTTTGAGGGTGGAATGCGGTAGAGAATTTTGGTGATATTTCCAATCGATCACAAAGCGACCTCCAGAATTCTGCAACGAACTGTGTTCCTCGATCGGATACAATAGTATCTGGTAATCCGTGTAACTTCCAAACATTATTGATATATAGCCTCGCTACTTCCCTTGAATTTGCCTCTTTAGTCGTCGGTATTAAATGTCGCATCTTGGTTAATCTATCTACCACAACCAAGATTGCATTGTATCCATCGCTCTCAGGGAGATCAGTCACAAAATCCATCGAGACATCTGTCCAGGGTCCATTGGGAATCGGCATGGGGCGAAGTACTCCATAAGGTGCATTGTGTGATGCCTTGCTACGGGTGCACACATTGCAATTCCTAATATACTGATCGACAAACTTCCGCATCTGTGGCCAGTAATATTCTCGACTTAGGAGTTCCAGAGTCTTCGCTCTACCCGGATGTCCTGCAGAGGGTTTGTCGTGGTATTCTTTTAAAAGCCTTAGTCGAAGGTCATCGTCGTCTGGTACATATAGCATGCCTCGATAAAGCAGCCGACCGTTGTTATCTTCCATACATTCGGCAAGTGAGATTTTGTTTGAGTGGCGTATGCCATTCCGAAGCATATTGAGGACCTTGTTTGGGAAACTATCCACTTGGTAAGCTTTTGAAAATAACTCCTCTACAGTGGACGCTCCTTCAGCGGATTCATTTGACAAAGAACCCGCGAACAAACTTAGCTTGGTATCCAAATTTTTTCGCTTCAGAATCACTTGACTCTGATGCGTCAACCGTTCATCCCCCTCTTTAGGTAGGTCACCTGACCTCCTAGTCAATGCATCTGGTTTTGTTCCTTGTTTTCCTGGCCGAAATTGTATAACGAAATCGAAACGTGAAAGAAATTCGGACTAACGGGCTTGTCGACGATTTAATAATTTTGTTGTCATAAAATACTCAAGATTCCGATGGTCGCTAAGAACTTCAATTGGAAATTGAGCTCCCTCCAGATGATGTCGCCATTCTTCAAAACATCGTATAATTGCTAAAAGTTCTTTGTCATAAATTTCGTAGTTGCATTCTGCGGGAGAATGTTTCTTGGAAAAGAAAGCAACTGGATGTAGGATTCCTTCGTTGTCACGTTGAGATAGGATCCCTGCTGAAACATAGTCGGATGCATCGGTTTCTATTACAATTTTTCGATCCGGATTAAAATGAGCTAGGATTGGTGCCGTTGTAAACATTTTTTTCAAAGTTTGAAATGCCTCCTCCCTTTCATCCGTCCATTCGAATTTAACGTTTTTCTTTGTTAAAGCTGTAAGCGGAGCAACGATTTTTGAATATCCTAGAATAAATCGTCGATAGAAATTTGCAAATCCTAGAAATACTTGAACATCACGAAGGTTTGTCGGTGTAGTCCATTCCAAAACATCGACGACTTTCTTTGGGTCCATTCTATTCCCATTCGGAGTAAGTATTAGACCCAGGTATTTTGTTTCTTGAACCATAAATTCACATTTTTCAGGTTTAAGGTGAACATGATTCTCATCAAGTACATTTAGAACCCTTTGAATATGTTCTTTATGTTCTGATAGGGTCTCGGAATAGATAAGGATATCGTCTAAGTATGCCGTTACGAATTGATCGAGGTAGGGACGTAGAATATCATTGATCCAATGCTGAAACGTGGCAGGGGCATTAGCTAATCCAAATGGCATTACGGTATATTCGAAATGTCCATATCGAGTCCGGAATGCTGTTTTCCATTCATCTCCCTCCGCTATCCTGATTTGATTATATCCCCATCGTAAATCCAATTTAGTATAGTATTGTGCTCTTGACAACTTAGCCAGGGTTTCTTTCAACAATGGTAATGGATATCGATTTTTGATTGTAATCGCATTTAGGCCTCGATAGTCAACACAGAGTCGAAGGGTTCCATCGCTTTTCTTTACGAATAGTATGGGTGCTCCTGCTGGTGATTCACTGGCTCGAATAAATCCTTTGGGTAAATTTTCGTCAAGATATTCTCGTAGTGCTTTTAACTCAATTTGAGATAGGCCATATATAGGTCCATAGGGTGGTCGTTTGCCTTCTTCCAATACTATCTCGATGTCATGGGATGGTCGATATGGTGGGAGAATTGAAGCATCATATTCTTTGAACATATGGAGACGATGGTGAAATTCCTTCGGTACTAGTTGTTCAATATCGACAGTGGATTTTTCAGTTGCTGAAACGATGACCGTATGGTGTTCTGGTAAGGGAATCGAAATGCCATGAACAATAACAGCAGTTCCACTGAGTGAACGGTATTGACAACAGCTCCGAGAGTCAAAAACAAGTAGATTTTCTTTTGGTCGAATCGTAACATCATGTCGTCGCATCCAAGGTATCCCCATCACAATCGGATAATGTCCTAACTTCGTTACAAAACATGGCGCAATTTCTCGATGACCATGAATGTCTAGCGAGACATCGATAATGTGGGTAATTTTTCCTGACTTAATAGGCCTTCCATCTATAACGTCTACATGGCGGGGTATTTTAAGGGGGGTCATTGTAAGATTGTTGTGGCGTGCAAAAGATTCATCAATAAAAGCATATCCTGATGCTCCGGTATCAATAAGGGCGTAGGTAGGTATAAATGAATTTTTATTCTGTGAAATCGAACAAGTTACTACAAGTTGATTTCCATCCATTTCCTCCTCTGATACCGAAAAACCAGAAATACACATCCTAGAAAAATCCTTAAACGGTCCCTGGGCTAAGCCACTTAGTGCAGGGACAAATCTTTTGCCGACTCGTTATCGCTTCCATCATTTTCTTCCACTGTCAACGCTGCTCCTCTCATCACAGGCCTCCTTGGTTGATTTCCAGTTGCCCTCGCTTGGGGGCAATCCCTAACCATATGTCCAACACCTCCGCAATAAAAACATCGGCCCTCAACTAAGCGGGCGTTTCTTTCGGTAGGGGAGGGGCGACGACGCCCTCCAGATAGATCCATTGGTACATCACCTCCCGGGCGGGATGAGGGGTGACTTTCAGTAATAGGTGCATTGGCGACTGGGGCGGCAGCGCGGGGAGCAGAAACAGGACTTGCTGGTGAAGGACGAGGGGCCTGAGTAGTAGTAGTAGTCCAAGGTTTTTTACTTCCTCGCTTAGCTTCTGCCGCTCGGCGACGGTTATCCAACCGTTGCAGAAGTGTCGCACAAGCATTTACCGTTGCAGGAGTATCATGATGTATCATTGATTCATCAAGTTCCGCATTAATACCTTCCATCAAAGCCTCAATCGGAGAGACTTCATCCATACCCGACTCAGCAGCATATCGTTGGAACTCAGCAAAATAATCGGCGAACGTTCGGTTTCGTTGACGGATATTCCTAAGATTCCTCCTAGCCGTACGCATCCGATCGGGATCCCCGAAAGCAGTATCCAAAACCTCATAAATTCGTAGCATAGAGGGTAAAGCAATACCTTCTTCGCCAACATATTGTAAAAACTGATTGGCGGCAACGCCTTCCAATCTACTGAATGCATAGGATAGTTTAGACTGTAGTGTAGGATAGCGATCGGCATTTCCCAATAGCTTAATCTTCATTTGTTGCTTAAACAGGTGTAACCTTTCTCGATCACGATCCCCCTTGAATACCTCAGGGTCTGGAAGCTTCTCCGACCGATAGGTAGTATCTGTAACGGGTGGTACTGGGGGTGCAGGTGGAACATTGTCTTCGTTGGGTGCTTGCACAGGGGCGACAGCTTCAACAGGAGCCTGTTGAGCTCGGGCAGCAGCAAGATCTTGCTCAAACCTTCTCCTCGCCCTCTCGGCCTCCGCTTCTACCTCTTGTAAATCCGTTGCGTATTGAGCAAGACCATGTCGGCACTGTTGGAGAAGTGCATAGGCTTCAGTTCCAACAATATCATCGACCTGTGGATGCGCTTGAAAAAGGGCTTGGAGACTATCGCTGAGTTGTTGATAATCAATAGGTGCATGTTCCGACATTGTAAACTATGGTGTTGTATTGGTTGGCGATAGAGGACGCAACCTACGTATCACGGGGACCGTAGACGATAGCCTGTGGTGCCAAGGAATACAACCTAGGTAGTGACGTAGACGTGGACGTAGACGTAAAGGTATGCTTTGACTATAGACTATGGGTGGCTCTACCTGGTATGGTAAACCGATTAGAGCCCTATGACGTAGTGCGGACAAAGAATAGTATTCGTAGAATAAATACAGAGGTTGCGTAAAGAAGAAAGAGAAGAAGGAAAACAGACAAAAGCATGAAACAACGCCCCCTTATATATCCACCCATAATCCAACGATGACTAATACCTTCGCGTAACAGAAACCCAAAGAACATAATAGAAGTCCCCATTACAAATCCTAATTCCACTACACGATACCTCCTTCCTTTATCCCAGTTCATCACCTAGCCGAAATACATAGCTGCCGTTACAGCCTTTTGGGCTGGCAAATGCACCGGCGACCTTCCAGAACATGGTGAATGATGCGCTGAGGGAATTCTTGGATCAAGGTGTAGTAGTATACCTTGATGATATCCTAATATATAGCAAATCTCGAGAAGAACATAGGGAGCTGGTCGGCAAAGTACTTAGCAGGCTACAAGAATACAACCTGGTCGCCAACCCGAAGAAATCGTTCTTCGAGCTCACCGAAATCGGGTTCCTCGGATACATTCTTGCCCCAGCAGGCGTCACTATGGCACTGGATAAGGTTATGTCTGTTACGAATTGGCAAGCCCCGCGCAGCGTTAAAGAAGTACAAATCTTCATGGGCTTTGCCAACTTCTACAGAAGATTTATCCACAATTTCTCCGGAGTCTGTAAACCCATTACCGATTGTCTCAGGGGAGATGCTAAGAACTTTGTCTGGTCTATGACGGCCCAAGCAGCCTTCGAAAAACTCAAAACCCTGTTTACGTCTGCGCCGATCTTGGTCCATTTCTCTCCAGATCGCCAGACTATCGTGGAAACGCACGCAAGTGATTTTGCTATTGCCGCAATTCTATCCCAGGTTATTGACGGGAAGACTCACCCTGTTGCCTTTTATTCTCGAAAGCTTAACCCAGCGGAACTCAACTACGACGTCTGGGATAAGGAGATGCTAGGAATTGTGTCAGCCTTCAAGCAATGGCGTCACTACCTTGAAGGACCTAGGCGAACGGTCCTCGTCTACACGGATCATAAGAACTTGGAATATTTCTCAACAACCAAGGTTCTTAACCGACGACAGGCAAGGTGGGCTGAGTCTTTGGCGGAATTTGACTTTAAGATTATTTACCGCCCGGGAACCAAAAATGGGAAGGCAGATGCACTATCGCGACGGCCGGAGTACCGTCCTGAAGGGGGAGGCACGCTTGGGAAACAGCCGATAGACAGGTTCTTTAAGCCCGGACAGTTGGCGGAGGAAGAGTTTGTGGTATCAGCAGTGTCGCTTGCCTCCAAGGGAGTGATTGACTGGTCTAAGAACTTTCTAGATCATGTCAGGCAGGCGGCATCGGGAGACCCGACATGGGTAGGATTGAAAGAGAGAGTTGAGCAGGTAGAGAAGCTGGGGGAAATGAAGGATATCGCTGAGAAAGACGGGCTACTCTTCTATAAGAACCGACTCTACATTCCGGCAGACGACCGCATCAAGATCCGAATTGCACAGTCAGAACACGATTCGAAGGTGGCAGGACACTTTGGACAAGACAAAACTTTGGAACTCATTACGCGCAACTTCTATTGGCCAAAAATGAACGAATGGATTGACGATTACGTTCGGTCATGTGACGAGTGCCAGCGCAACAAACCCAGCCGCTATAAGAAATACGGTGCGCTTCTTCCACTGTCCACACCACATTCCGTCTGGCAATCGATATCAATGGACTTTGTCGTGCAGTTACCGGAATCAAAAGGATACAACCAAATCTGGGTAGTAGTCGATACGTTCTCAAATATGTCGCACTTCATCCCCCTAGTAGCAGAAACGACCGCGCAGGATTTAGCGAAGATATTCCTCGGTCAAATCTGGCGACTCCATGGGCTGCCTCTTGATATAGTTTCCGACAGAGATGCCAAGTTTACTTCAAGCTTTTGGGCATCCCTTATGGAATTGTTGGATGTGAGGATAAGAATGAGTACGGCTTTCCACCCTCAGACCGATGGGCAAACAGAGCGAGTCAACCAAACCCTCGAGCACTACTTACGAGCGTTCTGCAACTATGAGCAAGATGATTGGGCAGAGTTACTCCCGTTGGCGGAGTATGCTTACAACAACTCGGTTACCACCGCCACGGGTCAATCTCCGTTTTATACCAATTACGGTTATAACCCAAGAACCAACTGGCCAACAGAAGCCGAAGTGGTCAACCCAACTAGTGACCTGTACGCTCACTTCATCCGAGGGGTTCATGATTCTGCTCTCACTCGCTTAACAGACACCAGGGAGAAGATGGGGAAATACTATGATCGAAAAAGGGATGAACCGCCTAACTTCAAGGTGGGAGACATGGTTATGCTCAATGCGACCAATATCAAGACACGTCGCTCCACCAAGAAACTCGATCACAAGAAACTCGGCCCGTTCAAAATCATCCGACTAGCCGGGAAACGAGCCTGCGAACTGGAACTGCCGCCACAAGTCAAGATCCATAATGTGTTCCATATTGAACTCTTGGAACGGTATCGACAGAGCAGTATCCCAGGCCGTGAACAACGTCCCCCAACTCCCGAGGAGGTCGATAAGGAAGGAGAGGTGCTGTACGAAGTGGAAAGTATCGTGGGGAGTCGGAAAAGCAGAAGAGGATTAGTGGAATACCTGGTGAAATGGCGGGGCTATTCGATGAGTGACTGTACGTATCAAGTCATGGACGCTATGGATGAGGAAGTACTTGACCTTGTCCGCGACTTCCATCGAAGGAACCCCAAGGCCGTGAAGGACCAACGCCTGAGACTATAGAGGTACCCTACGGGGCTAAGTCCTTCCCCTCCACAGACACCGCGGGTGATATGTGGAGCAGGTTTACTGGAACCATAGTCTGTCAGAAGATGTCCCGAGACGTGACACCCTGGAAGGGGGGTGAGCTGTTACGGGCATGCCAAGCATTTACGGGAGTGAGAGAAAGGCTAGTAGATACCCCAATACTCTCTGTACGCTAATATCAACTCTTGACCACACTCGCGGAGTGTGGTGCGACCAAATTACGACCAAAAAACCCAGAGTCATAAAAAACACGTTTTCGACCCCAATAATAACCCCCGGAGCGTCAAACCGCCGGAGGGGAGTGTTTTGGTACCGGTGGATATATGAGGGACAGCTAGAATCAATCGGATCGAAGATCGGACCACTCGGAGCGAATCGGCGCAAGCTGCCAGCCGACCGAGTACCTATCGGCGGTACCTGTGGGCATGAGAGGACTCTGCTATGTGGGAAAGCGATGTGGGAAGAGGCCTGAGTAGGTAGCCTTGCCGTCCGAGACCTCCGAATAGCCGACGCTGACGATTATCCACCAGACAGCCGATGGGGAAGAAACATCGACAGGGAAACGTGCATTAGAGTGGATAAATAGGTTGAGGGGTTTCAGTGGATTTAGGAGTTTGGGTTACGGAGTTAGGAGTTAAATGTTCTTGGTTGTTTTTCAGGGTCTCGGGCATGCCCCGAGTGTATTCTGTATTATTAGTAGATTGGGTCCTCGAGACATAAGCGAGGGATATAAATACTGTGTCATTCACTGACTAGCCAAACCATCATTGGCGAAATCAGAGTCTTAACAATATAAATCGTTGATACGCGAATTACAACTTTATTTTGACTATACTTTTGGAATTACTTTACTCTATCGTGACTTCGAACTCTACCTGAACTATTACGTCGAAGACGGTCGAATTCTATACGCTAACTCTAGTGAATCTTTGTTGATAACGTAGCTCGCGGGGCCCGTATCGGATCAAGGAGATTCATACTCGACGTTGACTGAAGAGACCTTGGGGACTTCTACCTTTGTAGCTGTTAGCCGAACTCTGAGCTCTGCGTAGTGTACTCTTGTGGTCTGGTACGCATCCCTCACAGCCAGGCAGCACAGAATGCTCTGATGGCGGAAGCTCTTGAGTACATGAGGATGGAGGTCAACTCTGTTCAGGAAGAACTCCGGAAGTATGCGGAGAGAGATGAACTGGATGCCGATGCCATGGAGATTGAGTGGACCAACCCGGCCACTCCACCAGACTTTGTGGCCGAGATACAGAAAGCCCTTGATGAAGGAAGACTGGTGGTGGGTAGACCAGCAACTCCGGCACCAAATCCAGGCTCCAGGTCCTCTTCCAGAGCAGCCACCAGGACAATGCAGCGGAAAACCAGTCCCTTCGCAGCATTTCCGGTCAGATCCAGTAGGAGAGTTGTTCCTATTATCCAGCCAGCGGTGGGAGCATCTCCCTTACCTCCTAGCCGCTTCGCAGGAGTAAATCCATTTCTTGGATTAGCCGACCGATCCTATGATTTTGAGGGAGAACTCTACCCAGGTGCAGGCCGAGGACCTCCCAGTCCGCTAGCCAGGAACCCGGGAAGGTTCACCATGTCTGGGGCCGCTCAACCAGCAGCAACCTCACCACTGGCCAGCAACCCGGCACCAGTAGCACCTGTGGCCCCTCCTGCTGCGGCCGCTGCTCCCCCTCCAGCCAATGTACAGGGAGGAAGCGGTGGAAACCAGAACCCTCCACCTCCTGTGGCTCGCGCTCCCGCCCCTGGAGATTCAGATAGTTCTGACAGTTCAGACTCGGAACCAGAAGGTGGTGACAGAAGAGGCTGGCGGAGATATCTTAAGAAGAAGTTGGAGAAGCAGCAAAAGGATTTGTTTGCTATGATGTCCCAGCAGTACCGACTTCCGGCCAGCTCTCCCCCTTCCTCAGCCACCAGGGCCCGAGAGCCAAAGGCACCACCACCCTCCAAGTTCCAGGGCAAGGCGGAGCAAGTGGAAACTTTCATCCGGCAATGTGAGAATGTGTTCTCCATTGAGAGCCTGTCATTTACCTCTGAGGAGGTTAAGATCCGATATGCAGGCAACTTGATGGAAGGAGAGGCAGCGATCCGATGGTATGAGGCATACCACAATTCAATTGATCAAGCCTCCGCCAACCGCCTTGCTGGAATGACGGTGACTTTGGATCTGAGATGGAAGCGCTGGGATTCCTTTGTGGATGCTTTTAGAGCAGCCTTCGGTGAAGCCATCTCTCGAGATGATGCTGTAGCCCAATGGAATACCCTTACCCACACAGCCCGAGGAGGAATAGACCTCTTCCTGAATACTATTATTCAGCTGATGTGGAAGACTGGCTATGAGGTCAGTTGGTGGATGATAAGATCAACAATTCCCTCCTGGCGGACCTAGGCATGAGTTGGGCTCTTTTCAATCCCAAGCCAAAGTCCTTGATGGAGCGGATAGCTGCTCTAAGAGAGTTAGGGCACACCCATGAGAGGTACCAAGGGATGGCAGCCAAGAAAGCGCCCCCTCGGACCAAGAAAGATCCTCCTGCTGAGAAGGACCGGCAGCCTAAGTGGAAAAGAGAAGCTGCAAGCTCCTCCGGACCCCAGAAGACTCCCGGACCTAAAGACAAAGCGGCGGAACTGAAGGGTATCCCGGGGGATATTCTAGAAGAAAGAAGGAAAGCAGAAGTATGCTTGAAGGTATGACCTTTCGGTACTCCCTATTGGTAGAGTGCATAGACTGACTTGTGCAATAGTGCGGCAAGTCCAGACACAAATGGACCGATTGTTGGTCCAAGGAACCTACTGTTGTCCGAGTGGCAGCAGTGAGAGTACAAAAGCGGAAAAGAGGGAATGGCAAGTCCAGCTCTCAGAAGAAGGCTAAAGTGGCTGCTGTAGTAGCAGAGGATCCACTTGTTGTAATCCCGGAGGTTACAGAAGATTTTGTTTTTCAGCCTGAGCAAGACTCGGACAATGAAATCATCTGGTAGAAAAGTGTCTGTCTGAGTCTATGTTTACTAGTTTTCTTTTATATGGGTTTTTCGGTTTCTATGTTTCTCTTGAATAAATTATGATTGTGTTTCCGCCTATTTGATTGCTTCAAGCACTCTGAGGATGGGTTTAAGACCCGAAACAGCTGGTCTGTCAGTGCTCTACCAAAGTTATATTTGCTACTAAGACACTTCCAAACCAAGGCTAAAAACACTACTACACAATATATCTGCTATATTATCGCTTGGGAATAGAACCAAAGGATCTCTGATCTTAGTAGTGCCCGAAGCTATTAGCTATGTTGAAAAGACAAAGAGAAACAAGTTTAGAACCCGCTGTTAAGCAAAGAAGGTTGGAACAGAGGCTTCCCTCCTTACCAGCACATGGAAAAAGACCTATACTGAAGGCAGGACTGTCATGGACAGTCAAAGGAAAGGATGAAGGCGCCCAAGGGTCTTTCCTGTTTGACACCGGTTGTACAGGAGCAATCCTCAACCAGAGTTTTGTCAGAAAGCATGGAATTCCCTTAGTGCGGCGGGATCAACCTCTGACAATGTTTGATGCTCAAGGAGATGTCATGATGGGAGGAGGTGAGTATTACACTCACCCGGTCCGCATGATTATGGGAGATCATAAAGAGACACTCCGATGGGAAGTGGCTACTTTGGAAGAAGGAATGACCGGTTACTTGCCAATTAGTTGGGCTAGGAAGCATACCCCGGACATTAACTGGGAACTCAACACCATGAGCTGGAGGAGTGACTACTGCAAGCAGAATTGTCTCCCAGCGGCCACCAAGATCGAACTGATCTCTCCATACCAGATGCTGGAAGAAGAAGAGACAGTCTATCAATTGGTTGGGTCAGTATGGCATGATGAGGACGGAGGTGATATTGCTGAGAAAATACACCACCTATACCGGAATTGGGCTGATGTGTTCAGTCAAGAGAAGATTGAGGAAATGCCGCCGCATTCCCATAATGATTTGAAGATCAAACTCTTGCCTGGTACCGCTCCCCCATTTGGCCCGCTGTACCCATGTTCCGCTCCAGAGTTGAAGGCCCTCCGAGAGTACCTGGACAAAGAATTGTCTTCAGGAAAGATCTCTAGATCAAACAGCCCTGCTGCGGCGCCCATATTGTTCATTCCTAAGAAGGATGGGACATTGCGGATTTGTGTGGATTACAGAGGTTTGAACAAGGTTACTGTCAAGGACAAGTACCCGCTGCCTATCATGAGTGAGCTCAGAGACAGGTTGTTCAAGGCCAAGATCTTCACAAAGATAGACCTGAAGAACGGTTTCAATTTGATCAGGATAGCTGAAGATGATGAGTGGAAAACCGCTTTCAGAACCCGCTATGGACTGTATCAGTATAATGTGATGCCATTCGGTTTATGCAATGCTCCCTCCGCCTTCCAGGCAATGATCAATGATGTGTTAAAGGAACTACTGGATGAAGGAGTGGTTGTCTATATCGACGACATCCTCATCTACTCGGAGACTGAGAAAGAGCACGAGCTATTGGTCAAGAAGGTACTACAGAAGCTTAGGGAAGCTAAGCTCTGTGCATCGATCAGTAAGACATCCTTCCATGTCCGAGAAGTAGAATACCTAGGCTATCACATCTCGGAAGAAGGAGTATCTATGTCAGAAGATAAGGTGGAGGCAGTTAAGGAATGGCCGGTCCCTGAGAATATCAAGGCAGTACAGGCATTCCTCGGATTTGCAAACTTCTATCGCCGTTTTATTGAAGGCTTCAGTAAAGTTTGCAAACCATTAACTGACCTTTTGCAAAAAGACAAGAAATGGTATTGGACGGCAGCACATGAGCAGGCCTTTGAAGAACTCAAGAGGCTGTTCACAAGCGCTCCAATCCTTCTTCATTTTGACCCTAGTAGGAGAACGGTGGTCGAGACAGATGCCAGTGATTTTGCCAAGGGAGCAGTGCTCTCTCAGTATGGGGACGATGCAAAGCTACATCCGGTGGCATTCTATTCTAAGAAGTTCTCCCCTGCTGAGATCAACTATGACATTCATGATAAGGAAATGGGAGCTATTGTAGCCTCTTTCCGGGAATGGGAACACATGCTCAAATCTTGTGAGCAAGAGATCACGGTTTTCACAGACCACAAGAACTTGGAGTATTTTAACTCTACCAAGGTTCTCACTAGGCGGCAAGCTAGATGGTCTGAGGACCTCGCAGGCTACAATTTCAAAGTTGTCTACAGACCGGGAGAAAAGAATGGCAAGACTGATGTGCTATCTAGGCGCTGGGATCACCGCCTTGGAGAGGGAGGTGAAACTCTGCAGCCGGAGCCACAGAGCTTTTTTAGGCCAGGTCAATTGGTTTTGGATCCTGCAAAGCTAGCGGCTGTCAGGGTGAATCAATTGCAGAATACATTCTTAGAGCGCCTATATGCAGCAGCTAAAGAGGATAGTTTCTGGCAGGAACTGCACCGCTCCCTGGTTGAAAGGAAACCAAATTTGGACCAGAACTTGTCGGTCAAGAACGGTCTCATCTTCTACAAGAATCGATGGTATATACCCAAAGACAAGAAGCTTCACATGGAAATACTGTCCGATACCCATGACTCTAAGGTGGCTGGTCACTTTGGCCAATTTAAGACACTTGAGTGGGTGAAAAACAACTTCTTTTGGCCCAACATGGATAAGGATGTTGAGGAATATGTCCGGAGCTGCGACAGCTGCCAGAGGAATAAGACCTCCAGACATAAGAAGTTTGGTATGCTCCAACCGTTGGAGATACCCTATCGGCCATGGACTTCCATCTCTATGGACTTCATTGTGGGATTACCGGAATCTAGTGGGTTTACAAAGATCTGGGTAATAGTGGACCGCTTTTCGAAGATGGCACACTACATCCCTCTTCCTACCCTCAATAAAATGGAAGATTTGGCTAAGTTGTTCTTGAAGGAAGTTTGGAGACTCCATGGTTTACCTGATGACATAGTCTCGGACAGAGATAGCAGGTTCATCTCTCACTTTTGGCAATCTCTCATGAGCCTCCTCAATGTGAAGCTGAAGATGTCCACATCTTTCCACCCCCAAACGGACGGTCAAACAGAAAGAGTTAATCAGACCCTGGAACATTACTTGCGGACTTACTGTTCATATCAACAGGATGACTGGGCAGAACTGTTGCCTTTGGCAGAGTATGCTTATAACTCGGCGGTCTCTGAGTCTACCAAAGTATCGGCTTTCTATGCCAACTATGGTTATGAGCCCAGGACCAACTGGCCGGCCCCAAAGGAAGGAGTAGAATGGAACAATCCAGCGAGCGAGGTCATGATTTCTCAATGGGAATCTATCTGGCAGGCTATGAACGCCAGCTTGGGTAAAGCAAGATTAAGGATGGCCCGGTGGTATGATGCTCATGCCCTGGCACCGCCTGAAATCAAGCCCGGAGATGAGGTTATGTTGGACCGGCGCAATGTGCAAACAAAGCGGCCTTTGGGAAAATTGGATCAGAAGAAGATGGGACCCTTCAAGGTCTTAGAAGCTATTGGTACCCGTGCCTACAAGCTCTCTCTTCCTTCCCAAATGGGAATCCACCCGGTCTTTCATGTCTCTCTTCTGGAACCTTACAGAGCACCGGTAGATCCTGAGAGAAGAGTTCCACCACCGGAAGCCGAAGAGATTGAAGGAGAACAGAACTGGGTTGTCCGAGAGGTAGCTGATAGCCGGGTCAATAAGAAAAGGAGACGAGTGGAATACCTAGTGCTGTGGGAAGGTTATGAAAACGAGGATGCTACATGGGAACCTTGGGAGCATCTCAAGAAGAGTGCTGAAGAAGCCCTTCGGGATTTCCATATGAGGTATCCTAAGAAACCCAAGGACAAGCGGATTGTTGGGGTGTAGATTATTTCCCTTTGGTTTTCATTTCCTTGCATATCACGGAGTTTCTTGTCATATAGAATGGATGGTAATAGAATGGTTATAGATCTCGGAGACCAAGATCCTGGAAGAGGGGAGTGGTGTAACGGAGCCATTTCAACTGTCTGGTGTATGAGTACACACAGGGCCCGGTTACATGCTGAGAGTTATTGTTAGAAGCCAGTTGAACGGTGATATGCAAGTACCGGCAGTGTGGTTAGCTACCAGCTGTTAGAGTTACTACATTCCGGGCGCTAGGAAGGGGATCTATTCATGGGAGCAATGACTGACGAGTCTATGCCTCGCCAGTGACTAGAAGACCGGCCAGAGTGAAGCTCTGATTGTCCGGTGATCCTCTGTATCCTCTGAGTATTGTAAGTCCGCCGAAGGGCAGGGACTATGCTAGGGAAGTCTACAATAAGAGAAAGCTCTACAGCAATGATTAAGCTTACACCTGAGCAGCAGCTCATTTATGCAGGTCCTCGGTTGTGCGACAACCAAGGCTGCAGGTGTTAATAAAGGCTTTGACTAAGGGTGGTTGCCTTGGGTATCGGAAACACCTGCTGACGCTTAGAGAAAAGCGGGGTAGCGGCGGTATTGTTTCCGGTACTGAGGAAAGGCCCACCGGAACTTAGTAAGGAGTTAGGAGCAGAGAATAGAGGCCTTCGGAGTATAAGTACTCAGGTTCATTCTCGCCCTTCAGTCCTGTTCTCTCCAGTCTTCATCAGAAAAGAAACCAAGTTCTTATCGGTAGCAGGGCCCTTAAAGATTATTGAGTTCTAGCGATAGTATCTTTGAATAATCTGCAACCTGATTGTCTATCTTGCACGGCCGTCTCTATTCTACTTCATTCTATTTCTCTTAGAAGAGACCCCCGTTACATTATCCACTCTAATGCACGTTTCCCTGTCGATGTTTCTTCTCCATCGGCCATCTGGTGGATAATCGTCAGCGTCGGCTATTCAGAGGTCTCGGATGGCAAAGTGTTACGAGCATGCCAAGCATTTACGGGAGTAAGAGAAAAGGCCAAGTAGATACCCCAATACCCTCTGTACACTAATGTCAACTCCGGTTCGCACCCACGAGGTGCGGTGCGATCAATATGCGACCAAATGCGGAGTTGCGGTTTTCCTAGTTAAAAAATACCTTTTCGACCCCAATAATAACCCCTGGAGCATCAAACCGCCGGAGGGGAGTGCTTTTGGACCGGTGGATATATGAGGGATAGCTGGAATCAATCGGATGGAAGATCGGACCACCCGGAGTGAATCGGCGCAAGCTACCAGCCGACCAAGTACCTATCGGCGGTACCTGTGGGCATGAGAGGACTCTGCTATGTGGGAAAGCGATGTGGGAAGAGGCCTGAACGGCCGATGGAGAAGAAACATCGACAGGGAAACGTGCATTAGAGTGGATAAATAGGTTGAGGGGTTTCACTGGATTTAGGAGTTTGGGTTACGGACTTAGGAGTTAAATGTTCTTGGTTGTTTTTCAGGGTCTCGGGCATGCCCCAAGTGTATTCTGTATTATTAGTAGACTGTGTCCTCGAGACATAAGCGAGGGATATAAATACTGTGTCATTCACTGACTAGCCAAACCATCATCGGCGAAATCAGAGTCTTAACAATATAAATCGTTGATACGCGAGTTACAACTTTACTTGACTATACTTTTGAAAATACTTTATTCTATCGTGACTTCGAACTCTACCTGAACTATTACGTCGAAGACGGTCGAACACTCTACGCTAACTCTAGTGAATCTTTGTTGATAACGCAGCTCGCGGGGCCCGTATCGGATCAAGGAGAATCATACTAGACTTCTACCTTTGTAGCTGTTAGCCGAACTCTGAGCTCTGTGTAGTGTACTCTTGTGGTCTGGTACGCATCCCTCACACAAAGCTACCTACTCAGGCCTCTTCCCACATCGCTTTCCCACATAGCAGAGTCCTCTCATGCCGACAGGTACCGCCGATAGGTACTCGGTCGGCTGGTAGCTTGCGCCGATTCACTCCGGGTGGTCCGATCTTCGATCCGATTGATTCCAGCTGTGCCTCATATATCCACCAGTCCAAAAGCACTCCCCTCCGGCGGTTTGACACTCTGGGGGTTATTATTGGGGTCGAAAACGTGTTTTTTCTGACTCCGTGTTTTGGTCGTATATTGATCGTACCACACCCCGAGGGTGCGGTCCAGAGTTGGCATTAGCGTACAGAGGGCATTGGGTTTCTACTAGCTTTTTCTCTCACTCCCGTAAATGCTTGGCATGCCCGTAACAGCGGGGCCCGTATCGGACCAAGGAGAATTCTACTCGACGTTGACTGAGGAGACCTTGGAGACTTCTACCTTTGTAGCTGTTAGCCGAACTCTGAGCTCTGCGTAGTATACTCTTGTGGTCTGGTACGCATCCCTCACAGTTATATAAACAGCTGATTGTTTCACGGAATTGGTTACCTTTATTTTTTTTTGTGTCTCGATACTATTATTGTCAATGCATTTCCTTTGTATCGCATCACTAATCTAGAAACAGAAGAGCCAGGTAAGAACCTATTAGATCATCGGCAGTTCAGAGAAACACTTTATCAACAGCTTATTGAAGGGGGTTCTCAATCATCGAATGTTGCCTTACCACGGCGCAAAGTCAAAGAGTTACCTAAAATCAGACTACAACCCGGAGACCACCAAAAGATTAAACTACCAACAGATATAGGGAAGCGGGCCCATTGTACTTACTATCTATGGGTCCGACAAAAGGCAAAGGAATCCGGAGCGGGAGGGTTGAGGTGATTTGGCACTTCTGTTAGTGGGAACACTGGAGGCCGGGCTGCAAATGGGTTTGGTAAAAGGGCTAAACAGAACTGCACATATTGTTCTCTTTGCAAAACCTCTATATGCGATGCTTGCTTTGATTTGTATCATAGAGAATAGTGAATTTATCATTGACCTGTCATCGATAAACTCCCTGAGATATGCGCCGAGCCTTTCTAGGTCTTCCGGCCCCCACGAAAAATGGTCAGCCTGCCAGACGAAGGGATAAGGCGATTACGATTCGACTATCCCATGGACGGATGAAATTATCAAAGTTGCGACCTGGACCGTGCACCCACTTGGCGCTGATGATTTCCTTTTTGAGAGGTCATGTGATATCATATTTGGTCTGGTAGGGGGGGCCGGTGGCTTAGTTCAACTGGCAACCGACTCGGATAATGGTTGCAAATCATTTTTGGTTCACCCTGTCAACCGATGATGTATTGCAAATCATTTTTGGTTCACCCTGTCAACCGATAATGATTGCAAATCACTTTTGGTTCACCCTGGCAACCGATAATGGTTGCAAATTACTTATAGTTGACCTGTCGAGTGGTGCAGTAGGAAGTGGTGCAATAGGCACTGACTCGGAGTTGTCAATGAATCAGGTCGTCACGGTGATATTTTACAAAACAGGCACGGCACAGGACAAACTTGCAAAGTACACAGGAAAAATATGATGTAGGGGCCCTTTTTCTTTTCTGTCCTTCTCTCCTCAACTTCAGCCGGCAGTACTCGCATTCTCTTCTTTTTTCCATGCGTACCTAGTATGCCAGAAACACTGTTAGATGGCGAGTAGTAGTAGCAATTAGAAAAATATTAGATGTGTTACCTACCTGTACATGTTCTTGTAGAGGCCGGTCAACGGGTGGTGGTAAATCCAAAACTCTATAAATTTTGCTGTACGTGACTCTTGCTGTTTTTCTTTTGTACCAGCGGCGTGTTTTTATCTCTTCTGGTCCGTACTTTTGAAGAAGCTGACCAGCAAGTAAAAGCCGGAAATCTTTATGTGTGATTTTGGGTCGAGGTACGGCTTGATGGAGTGAGTAGAGGAGAAAGACATTGACAACCATTGTATCCAGTAACCAAAAGAAATATGGTAACCAATTGCGTCTTGCAATCAGCTGTGTAAAAAAATAACTGCGCAACTGATCAGCTATATCAATACCACCCTTATGATAATTGTAGTCATCGATAAGTGCAGGAATTGGAATATTCATTTTGTGGTTATCCCTGAATGCCTGTCGGATCAAGGGACCACTAGTACTGGTTAAGCGTGGCCGCTTTCTAGACCGTGTAACTTTCTCGTCTAAAGTATGTATGGTGGAGAGTGCGTGCACATGATTGTTGTCCTGCCATTGCATTGCCAGTACACTGGCAAGTCCGTTACTATCTGATACTGCACCACCAACCACCGTATTCCAGGGAATATCTTTTGCGTTGTTGTTGTATTCAAGCGGGAAGCGGCCTGCTTGTAGGCGTGCTGTACCACATGCACCTATTCCGATACTTCTGAGCTTGCTGAAAAGGGCAACAGTACTAAAGAGATTATCCATATAAATGACAAAGTCGTATTCTCGATAAGGTAGCGATGATTCAGCTAGTTGATAGACGACAGCTGTAGTCGGTGCAGAGATACCAACCGAATCCCGGTAGGCAGAAGACAGTTCACCAATACCCTTAACCCTGGAGTGAAACCGCCAATTGATTGTGTATCCATGGTCGCAAATCGCAAACACCTTGTATCCCTCTGTGATTGGCTTATTAGGTATACGAACAGTATGCTTACTTCTTCCCCCAAACCTTATCATCATCTCGTCAACTGTTACTGATGTGGATGGTAGGTAGTATCTCTTGCAGCTTTCACGCATCTTACTACTCAAAGGCTCAAGCTTCTCCCACCAATTATCTGGCCCAATCACACTAGAAGGCGGAGATACATGAAAATACCGCTTAATTTGAAAAAAGCGGTTGTTGCCCATTGCTTTGGAGACTGGTCTTTTCCAAACTGGGACATAGATCCGGATACCGGATGTTTTTCTCCATAAGTCATTAGGTGATTTGCATCTGTTTACACCCATGGCGATCAAAAGCCCTAAGAACACACCAATTTCTTGGGCTGTGGTAGGCTTCCATTTGCGACAGGCACGAGACTTCCTCTGCACAGCGTAGTAGGCATTGGTATTTTCCGATAGTGAGTGGAGTATTTCTGGTGTCCAAAAGAATTCAAAAATATCCAAAGGTGCGAGTTCCACATTCTAAAGTTTAGTGCGCTCCTAGTCAGAACTACCAGTAGTAATAAGTATTAGATCCAGGACATACCTCTAGCTCCTCTGGCAATAGTATCTCGGCCTCATGAAGATTCCTATGCATTGGCGTGTACGGCCTCAAGGGGTCTGCTGGTGAAGTGATACCACTACTTTTCTCTCGGCGACACCTCCTTGGTCGAATTGGAGGTTGTTGCAATTCTCCTAACGGGTGCCGACTCGGAATGCCAGTATTTGGTGCCATGTTCATCATTATCTCGTCCCTTCAAGTTGGAAGTTGCCAGTGAGCTGAGGTCTAACTGAGACATCTTCTGAGACAGCTTGGCTATGCGCACGGTCCAGGTCGCAACTTTGATAATTTCATCCGTCCATGGGATAGAGTACCACTTTTACACATCTTTCAACAACCGGTACTGAGTGGCAGGTAGAAACTAACTGTATATTAAGAACCGCCACATTATTTCAAGTATTGGTCTCTGGAAATTAATGATTAGATTCCTAAATAGTTTGCACAGCACGAATCGACCCGGATCTCACATCGCGCGGGACAAAATCCTACCGACCACCGGCTCTACCTACTGCGAGTCCCTAATGTGTTGGCTAAGGCCCCAAGTATATCTAAATCCCGGAGCAATCAATTCGGAGTTTGCAAAGTCCGGTTGTAAGTTGCATTCGCAAAACTTAAATAATGGCCCTCATCCACTCCCCGTTGTACTGTGCGTTGAAAACTTTCGTTCATCAGTACTAATTAGTAGTCCATCACCCCCGGGCATCCAGCACCCTGTTGTAATGTGCATCCAAACGACGAGAACTCGCCAACTACCGGTTGTAATGTGCATTGAAACACCAAACTGGCTGGGAAAGGCCTGTCTCACTAATCCATTACACACCCGATGATTGATAACTGCTCTACAAGTCGTCAGCCCTCAATTTACACCTCCCTCCAGTGGGCTATGAAGGACCGACACACCCCGATGTGATGATGGACCGAATGAACTATATAGTCCTAGTACCGCACACCGACAGCAACTATTCGGGCACTGTGTCGGTATCTCCCCTACTATTTCGTCGATGGTGCACACCAAACCCGGAATAGCCGATAGTACTATTGGGCAGACGAAACGACTTTCTTCCACCACCCCCGCGTACGTATATGTATGTATGCTTACCGGGAACTTAGGAATCATCATTATTCAGAACGAGGGTCCGGGCCCTGTCTTGTTGACGATGGTAGAAGGAATGCTGCAGGTGGCCACCCCGAAAGATAGTAATAGAGCTCGGGGGAAGCGATAGCAGCACCGATGGTGGAACCAACATTACAGGTTAGCGTTGGCAAATACTCAACGTTGTTGTAAAGTATATCTACAATGGAATACGTAGTTAAAAAGGCCCTGCCCCGAAGGAAATGGAATTATAATTGAACTCGTTCAGTCAGACCTTCACTCACTCGCTTTTTTTTTTGACTGCTGTTTATTTCTCGCGTGGTACAAGTTCGTACCTGAATCTAGTCAGCGCAGATCTCCTTATACTCAGTTCTACGAGCAAAACCCACTACGCCCTACTACGTTGGCTGTGGTCGCAGATTCTCTAGAGCATAACATAACGATAAACGACCTTAGAAAATGACATCAGTTATTGAAAAGAGGTCAGAAATGATGAATGCCAGCGAGGATCTAGAAAGTAGGCACCCTACTAATATGTCCATATGCCAATGCCGATACTAACAGCAATATCTAGAATCGAGTGATGGTTCAGGACCCATCAAACTAGAGAGACAACACGGAGGAAGCAACAATGTTGAAGAAACAATTCCAGAAAACTTGTTCAAAAACATCTGGCACGAATATTTCTTCATTTTAATCGTGACATCCGCCCAATTAATAACCGTAATTCCCTCCCATCTCCAGTATCAATAGTTAGTAAACTCATAAAGATACGAATAGCAAGCAAACCTCGGAAACACAATTATGCCAATCTACCACATCTCACGAGGCCTCGGTGTCGGAGAACATGATGCCGCGAGTCAGAGCTGGTTCATCGCTAGTTTTTCCTGTACTGTCGGCGCCTTCGTCTTGATCACCGGCCGCTTCGGCGACCTTTACGGTTTCAAAACCATGTTCACCATCGGCTGGGTTTGGTTTGCTATATGGTCCCTTGCCTGCGGGTTCGCACCCAACGAAATTTCGTTCGATATATTCCGGGCGCTGGCAGGCATTGGGCCCTCAATCCTAATGCCGAATGCGGCGGCACTGTTGGCCAACGGTTGGCGCGAACAGGGGAAGAAGAACCTTGCGTTTGCGGTTTTTGGCGCAATTGCGCCGGCCGGCTTTGTGATTGGGTGCGCGACTGGTGCGGTGATTACGGAGTGCGGTGGGCGGTGGGAGTGGATCTTTTGGAGTATGGCGATTGTGGCGGCAGTAATTGCAGTGATGGGGTGGATTGTGATTCCAGGGGGTGGGAGGATGAATATCAGGGGTGAGGGAGATGTGGACTGGATAGGAAGCTTTGTGGGTGTTGCGGGATTGGTGTTGGTGTTTGTTTCTTTGAAGTAGGTATCCTGATCATTGACCCTAGGTCAGCCAATTATCATGAACTAACAGAGTCTCAGCGGTGGCCCAACCTTCGGCTGGAAAGCGCCTACTAGTGGTGTTCTATTGGCCATCGGGCTCCTCTCCCTCGTAGCATTCTGCTATATTGAGACGCGGGTCGCCCACCCAATCCTCCCCATGAGCATTTTCCAGTCGCCGGCCTTCGTTGCCGTCGCCATATCCCTCTGCCTCGGCTGGATGTCCTTCGGAATGTTTCAGTTCTACACGCCGCACTTTTTGATGGAGTTCCGTGGGCTCTCTCAGTTAGAAACATCCCTCCAGCTGCTTCCATGCGCAATTGTTGGCGTCGCGATAGCATGCATGGCCGTGTTTATGCTTCCGCGAGTGCCGGGGTACGTTATCTTTGGTATCTCAATGCTGTGCTTTTTCCTGGGACAGTTACTGCTGGCGCTCACGCCTGTGGAGCAGACCTATTGGCAAATGACGTTTCCGACGTTTATGCTGATCTGCTGCGGGCCCGATCTGTCTTTTGCATGCTCCTCCTTGATCGCAAGTGATAAGTTGCCAAAGGAGCAACAGGGTGTGGCGGGTAGCTTTATTAATACCATTGTTAATTATAGTATCGCGTTAGGATTGGCATTGGCGGGGAATTTGGAGGCTGCCACTAATGATGGTGGCAGGGACAGGCTGAAAGGTTTCAGAGCGGCATGGTACTTGGGGGCGGGGTTTGCGGCGTTGGGGATGGTGATGACGGCTGTTTTTCATAGGGGGATGGCAAAGAGGCATAAATAGGTGGGAACGTTAATTGTTGATTATGTAGTTTCTTCATGAGATGTCACTCGGCTAAGTTTGATAGAAATAAAGGCTCTGATTGATTGATTGATTGATGATTGATAATTTGTTTATTATAGAAATAAAGACCATTAATTAATTGATCTATTTATCTATTATTCATGAGGTTAATTACATGTAATGCCCTCAAGGTTGGTAGGTGCGGCCAGGTTTAAAGGATTTATATTGACCATGATTTTTAAGTCTCCATTTGAATGCGCCCCAGTTTATCTTTCTGTATTTCTACTTCCGTAAAGAATTTCAATAAACTGGAAATAAACTGCATCCAGGGAAAGAGAAATTAAACCGACCTGCTTAGCTATCAGTTACAAGAAAAGAGACTTAACCTATATTGGCTTAGTGCCGAAATATTCAACTCATAATTTATCAATCAATCAATCATTAGTGCCGAAAGATTGAAGGGGGTATATAACAGTTGTGAGAAACCTCAAATGTTGAATCAGGGGATATCGGGTTGAGTGTGTAGTGTTATCACCTGTGAGCCACTTGTTTTAGTTTATTTATCAATAATCGCCTCTAGAGCTGCCTATTTTTTCGGGTTTATAGCAGTTCATCGCGGTTGTCCTAACAGTCCGTTTATTTTACAATCCATAGAAGTGCTTAGCTTATTGGGTTTATTGCGTTTATTGGGCCATCAAAACGGGCCCTATATTTCAAACCTCATCACACCATGCAGTCCTAAGGGTCATTAATGCCTTCGTGCCGTTACTGTTCAATAGTTGGTTCATACAGTCGAATCACCCTATAAGGGTATCAATTTCCGGTCCTCGGCGCACCCTTATAGGGTGGTTCAACTGTATTTACAAGTGTAATGCTGTTGTTTGTCCATGTTCGCCAACGAACTAGAATAGACTGTACGATGTATGTGTATGTAACTTGTCAAATACGAGAAGGGAGTTTTGAAGATTCTCCGAACACAGCGTTCCCTAAGAATAATACGGATTATCATTATCCTGTTCATTCCGTAAGCCCTCCTACACAAACATATATATATATATTGCATAGATATATATATCCCTTCAACACTAATCTCAATCATCAATTATGTTGGCAAATGAAGCTGTAGAGAACGTTTAAAATGGTAAAAAAAAAAAAAAAAAAAAAACCAATATTCGGTGCCCCAGAAACTAATCCTCTACGATAGAAATTATCGAAATAATAAACCAGCGCGTGAGAATGAGAATAAAAAAATATAAAAAATAAAATAGTATACATCGAATCGTAAATATGAAGTTGAAAAAATAAAACAATCGTAGAAGGATATCATAATAATAGACAGGGCAAAGCCAAGCCAACCCAGTGACAGAAAAAGCTAGCGAAAACGGAATTCATGGTATAAGGTGAATATCAAAGTGTAAAACGCCTGAGCCAACGAAAGAAAAAAAAGCGCCGCAAGACAAAAGGAAGGGAAGATACCGGGTAGAGCTACGATATAGCGAAAAAGTCGATCGAGGGAAACTTTGAAAGATTCGGATGCTACCATAACCATTGTGCAGGTGCTACCGCATGAACCACGCGGGAAATCAGCAGCCAAACCTCATCATAGTTCCACTCTACTGCTCCTTTTGCCATATATCGAATCTCCAATCTACGAAATACGAAAATCCAGAAGACAAAGAAGAATGACAAGAAATATCGTGGGATGGCGAGAAAAAGAATAGGGAAAAGGCACTAGTGCAGGACCTTACTCAAGTCTCGTATTTCTTCATCTGAAAGCGAGGCTATCCAGAGACACCGTTCACAGACGCCATCAACGGCCTTAAAATCGTACTTATGAGATGCTTCTATTAGGCGAAGAAGTCTCTTGACAATTGCAGCCGTAGTCCGGTGCCGCTCGAAATTTACAAGTGATTCAGTTGTTGGTGATGTAGCGATAAATAGGGCACGCTGAGCGTTGAGAATCAGATCGTGAGTGAATATTCCTATAATAAAGCTGCGTATCAGCAAATATGCCTACTAGCGTTAAAGCAGGATCTCGTACCAACAAAAGGTATGCAGCCTGATTCTCCGGTTACTTTATCCATTTCTGTACGGAGATTGTGGAAATTTCGCACAGGCTGGACCAGAGCTTCCATCTCTTTGAAAGTGCTCATGTCTGCGGCAGAAATGATACTCCATGTTTTTCGCAAACGAGCCACATCTGCAGTTAAAAGCGCGATTGTTATTTGGTACATCGTGGCAAAGTTCTGAAGTCTTCGAGCATGAGCGGCCACATGAATCAATTTGACAATTGTCTTCGCTCGCTCGTGGATGTCTTTCGTCATGACAATTTCAGACCTTGCCCATTTGCACATCTATTCGCTGTTAGTAACAGACCTGATAATAGAGTAAAGGTGCACTAACCAGATTAAATCTCGCAATAACCACTTCAACTCCCCTAATATCTTTAGAATTCAAAAACTCAACCCAATCTCTGACGTTAGAACTTGTTTGACTCCATCTCAACTCCACGAGTTCCTTCCAGTCTACCTCCATCAAAGCATCCTTCTCTATTAATGTAAACTGCTTTGCAAGAAGCTCTGAATCGTAGGCGAGGATAAACGGTAAATGAATTGAGGAGGGCTGAATTGTCGTCTCTAGAGTAGCATTTCGGCTATCTTCAGGTTTGTTTGAAGAAACATTTCCTGAAGAGTCCATTTGCTGAAATGCTCCTGCTTGAGGCCTTGAAACAACTGGATCTTGCGCTACTTTGGTAGCCTGAGCAGAATTTAACGACATAGTCGATTCAATATTAGGTGCGGGCGAAGGAGTATGTCGGAGGGGATGTGAAGGTATTCCAAGTTCTGCAATGATCGTACCGGGTTGTATCGGTGGAAATGTTGAAGAGACAAAGTTTCCCGGTGATACCGGCTGGAATGACATTTCTGATGAAAGTTCGCTGGTGTCGTCCCTGGGGTACTCTTTAGACTTGATCAAATGTTTCTCCAACCCCAGGTCTATACTTCTTAGGGCGATATCATTAGAGGAAGGATGCGGCAATAATGTACGATGTAGGATTGGTGTAGAATTATGAGACTGTTCCGCGCCATCAATAGCGGTAACTGGCTGATTTAACGCTCCTCTTTCATGATAATGGGATGGATCGGTGACCAGGCCTTGTTCTAGCAAAGGTCCAGCCTCTTCCAATCTTTCGATAGCCATTGCAATCCCCACAGAGTTAATATCTACTTGTTGTGTGACTGAGCCTATTTCTTCGAAAGGCACATTTTTTGATGAGATTTGATCGAAAACCTGCTTTTGCCTTCGTTTCATTCTCTTTTGATGATCTTCTTCGTCATTTCCATCCAGCCCAAATGTACGCTCCGATACATGCTCTTCAGCCGTTATCATAGACGAATCTCGAGATTCATGCGGATCTTGCGCAAGATGTCTCAAAGTTATTTTGTCCTCTGTGGGAGAATTTTCTGATGACTTCTTTTTCTGATACGTGCCTTCTAGTTTCATCAATGCAACTTCGATCCCTCCATCGTCACTTTCAGTATCTGGAAGATCCCGGAGCTTCTGGACGCCGACTTCGAATGAAAGCCTTGGGTCCAATCCCAATGAGCGAGCAACAGTGTGACGTCTCAAAGTACGAGAAGACCTTGGTAGTGAGACGCCGCCCTGTGCCACCGCCCCAAGAGAAATCACTCCAGCTAAAAATTGCTGATGAGGTGATTCAGCCCTTGATGTCGCTATGGTAGACGCTGGTCTATGATATATTGAGATCCCAAAGGTGTCTGCTGTAGAAAATGTTGCGGTATCGACAGAACCTGTAGATCTTGGTCTAGGCATATCCATGTCACCCAAAGTAGCGGCAGCTCTCAGGTCTCCACCTGGCCTGCGCCGTAACATTCTTGAAGGTTGGAGGTCCAACCTTCTCCTACTACCGGAAGAACGGGCGTTTCCAAAGATCTCAGAAATATCGTCCATACCAACACTATATTGACTTCGACCCGAGTTTAACCGCTTTAACGAGAAGGATCTCGCAGAATGTAAAGACATGTTATCAACCCCAGCAATTTGTGACAGGTAAGGGTTTTTTTGAAAGCTCTCAAAAGAAAATGATTTGCTTCTTCGAGGTAATCGAGAGTTCCCGGAGAAAATAGTTGAATCCATCTCCGCAGACGAAGACCTATCCTGAGGCTGCTTGATACCTTCGCCCTGCTCACTCCGTTGGGGCCTTCTTACTTGTAAAGGTACGAAGCTGCGGTGCGACTGTTCATCATCATACATGCTGCGTTGCCTCTTTGTCGATTTTGATGGAACAGTGTCTGTGATATCCGGTGATGCGCTTCCATCTTGACTAACATTACTCCCAACCTCTATCATTTCATCCACTTGCCCGTCCATCACCTCGTCTAACTGGGCACTGTTTCCTAGAATGTCTGTATCGCTGTTTTCAAAACCTCCCTGTTCCCACTGAGTTTCCTCAAGGGTTACCTCCTCTTGCATTGCCCGCTCGAAAGCCTCAACGACACCGGCCCCCAGCAAATCGATCCTCGCAGCCCTTGAATCGCCTGACATTCTACTGTTCCCCTCTTGGGCATTGACAGTTATGAATCTTGCTACAGATGAGTTTTGTGGCGAATTTGCTCCTGGAGACCTTTGATGAGGATTTCTATACCCCATAGGCGGCGAGTTCATTGTGCCATTTGTGAAGTTCCCACCTACCTTCCCACTCAACGCTCTCCTAACACTTCCCAAAAACCTTTTCATGCCAGGACTATTAGCATTTTTATTGTTGTGATATTGTTCGTGTTGGGTTTTTTGAAGATTTCGCCTTCCCATTGTACCATTGTTTGACGAGTTCAACGTCGTGAGTGCGCCAAAATTAGATAATTCAGCTACCGGCGTTGATGGAGCCATGACCTCTACATATGCCTGCGTTGGCGGAAATAGGTTGCCTCGAACTAATGACCCAGCATATGGAAAGGCCATAAGCAAATGCGTAGATCGTG